GTGTGTGTGTGTGTGTGTGTGTGTGTGTGTGTGTGTGTGTGTGTGTGTAGGGGGACCTAGAGAAGGTGACAGAATTGGAAGGAATTTGGTGAGAGCAGGCTGATAAGGGAGAGAGTGGTTTCTCTCAATTATAGCTGAGGCATCCAAGGTCACACAAAGAAATATAAATGGGATTTGAACTTGGTTCTGTCCAATCTCCGATTCTTTCTAGTACATCATGCCTTTTCCCTGTTAGTCATCAAATTATGCTTAAATTATTATTACTTTGATCTTCACTGGCAGTTTCTTTGTCATGAAATCCTTTTGTATTTTCTTTCAGATGCGTTGCTGTTTTATTTATAAAAATGAGTTGCTGTGCATGCCTTCAACATCATCTCTGTCTTGTTTTTCAGTGTGCCAACATTCCAGAACCTTCCTGAAGAGATACTCAGTAAGCTTGCTGACGTCCTTGAAGAGGTAATTGTTTTTAGCCCTTGACCTTTTTGAGATGGGACTCAGCCCATCACAGCTGTGCAATAAGTCACAAACTGCAGAGAGCCCTTTTAAATTTTTTTGAGCACTGACATGAGCTATATATTTGGCTTCAAATAAAAAGCAGCTCAGTATATCTGACATTTATACACAGTTAGAAATATGCAAATCATCGTAACTATAGAGGGAGAAAAACTTTTTGCTCTGGCAAACATATTGTTACTTTGACTTCCAAGAATGGGAGACTGCGTATTTATCTCTTATTTCAGTTGGTGTAAAGCAAGATTGTAATAATTGCTACTCTGAAGCTTCAGATTAGCAAATTTATAACAGGAATTAGCAGTTGGGTACATACTTTATTAGCATATGAGCATATTTTACACACGTAATTGTATGCCTGAATGTGAAAGTGTCACTGTTACTTACTTTTCACAGAACCTATAAAGCATAAGAAATATTGAAGCAGGAAAAAGAGAGGAGGTTTATACAAGCAGTGTCTTGAGTGAACACAAGGGGATAGGGTCCCTAGTGCCTATAGAGACAGAGAAGGCAGAGTATCTGGGCACATATGCAGATGGGGGTGGGGACTGATGGAGTGGTTGGCACTCTGCCAAACCTGTTCTGATATCTTCTATTTTCTCTGTAATCTAGAAAGCAAGGTCATCAACTGAGGATGAGGATGGGGTAGAGGTCTGAGAGGTTTGAAGACAGAGGAGAAGGTATGAGAAAAATGGAAAAGGGGATAGACTAGGAAGACACAGTATGACAGTTACCATTCAGGCCCTGTTTGATGTTACCAATCCCTAATCGCAGTTAAACAGGCAAAAAGAGTTCTTTCAGGATGTACGATAGGAGAGAGCGATCAAACTCCACTCTGCTGGGCCAAAAGGTGGGAGGATTTTTAAGCACTGGAGTGAGCTGGTGGAAAAGTACTCCAGTAGGGGTGTTACCAGAAAGTAGGTTCTTGTCTCAGAAAGAATTCAGAGATGAGATGGAAGTCAAGAAAGCAAAGTGAGGATTTATTAAGCAATAGTAAGCTCTCAAGGGGGGAGCTGGCAGACTCAGGGAAACAGCCACCCTGAGTTTCTTTGGCAAGCTGGTTATATGGGGTGTGAAAATGATTGGGCAGAAGATTCACTGAGGAGGGAGGGGTTTGGGCTCGTATTCACTGATTTTCATCCCAGCTCCACCTTCCCGAGGGGAGGAGGGATTTTTGTCCTTATTTAGTCTTGATTGGAAATGTCATGGTGTCAGTGCATGATGGGAAATTCTTATCTACAAGGTTAATTTTATTGTAATGAGGGCATAATGGACAAAAAGTTACATTCGGAATGCCGGAGATTCCTGCCTTTTCCCGCCTTCCTTTGTCTCCAGGACCCCTGTTGTTCACAAGGTGTATGGTTTCCTGCCACGTGGCCCACGCCCCCCTTTCTTTGCTCATATCTCGCTATCTACCTTTTCTAACAGTGGTTCTCCAGTAGGGAGGAGGTTGGTCAATGTGACTCGTTCATCTGTGCTTGCTGATTGCCCCTTCTGGAAGTTAGGCTCCTAGCCACCCATAGAGACTGGGAGATAGAGGCGCTATCTTCTTCTTGATTACTTTTCTAAGGAATGGCTCCTAGGTCCTTGAGAAAGACATTCCTGACCTGTAAAACAACCGGTGCCAACAGCCTGGAAGAAGATTTGCATCTCAAACAGTTGAAAACTTTCTAAAGTAAATGCTCCAAGAAAAGGGAGATCAGGAGCCTAGTGTCAGGAAGAAGGCTGTCTAAAGTTTAGTCAAAGTGACGGAACCCTTAAGTCTGTCTTGGTTACCAGCCCATTTCTATGTTTTTTCAGCCCCATTTGTTTGCCTGGATTCAAGTTCCAAGTAGACAGAGAATGGGATTTAACCGGGATTGGTATTTTGCCAGGAAAAGATGAGTGGTTGAAAGAGGGAATAGGGAGTTGCGGATGCATGTGAAGGAAGGATTGTAGCGACTGAACCTGGAATTTCGATTGTGCAAGAAGGGGAGCAAGGGCCAGTGAGTGACTGTGGGATCAATGGATTTTAGTCTCAGGAGGCTGAAGAATTTTTGGGGTTGTGCTATAACAGAGAGAAACTGGAAAGATACTGAAAACGTTTTTGTCTCTAGGTACTAACTATATACCAGTAATTATATGATCCATAGAACTTCAAAGGTTTATATCCACAAATTCTTAGTTTGAGTCTTATCACAGTGAGCTTTCCTAGGATTTATTGGTCCCCCTCATCTTATATGGGAACACATAGTAAAGCAGAAGTCACATTTGATTCCTATGTTCAAGTATAAAAGATTCATGAGCAAAAATACTGGCTGCATTTCTCTCTGAATGTGTCAACCACCGTACTTGCAACCTCTTTAAATGTAAAACTGCTTTTCCGAGTTCTTTTGTTTTTTGCTTTCCTTGTTGAGTATACTGAAGAACTCTCTGATGACCTTTTTCTTTTTCTTTTCACAAAATGAACTAAAGTACAAATTTACTGGCCCCAATCAAGCCCGTCCAAAATAAAATCAAATCCCATGAAATCCTTTCATCATTTTCTTTCTTTTCCACAGCTGTGGAAGCATTTGCTATGTTTTGCAAAACAATAGCCATAGCTCTATAAATAACTCTGACCAAAGAAATATTTTAGTATTTTATGTCAGATTTTCTAATCAGAAGATGCCTTCATCTGTGTTATACGAGCCACAGTACAGTCTATAGCAAAGCTGCATGAAAATAGAAACACATGATTAAGTGCCCACACATTTGTTTTGAAGACATACACAAGTGAAGTAAACAGACAAAATATGAGGTAGACATATGAATATACTAACCAGTGCATGAACGTGTTCAACTCAAGGTGAATAAACAAGCACAGTGAGAAATTAGATTAATTTATGTATGAGATAGAGTGAAGCAAATTTGGAAGAACAAAAGCAATACCAGTGTCACATAACATTAAAGGGAAATTTGCTTGCATAATAAATGAGCTTTTTTCCCTACAACATCTACAAGAAAATGAAAGGATCCCAGATTATTTTGAAAAGAAGACAGTATAATCGTTGCATTTAACAAAGAACTTTGCAGCCTTGTTTGTTTAACAAATATTTATGGAGCATCTGCCACTTGCCAGTAATTATTCCAAACTCTGGGGATTCAGGGCCTTGTCCTCCCAAATCATATGTTCCATTGGAAAGTACAGATGAGAATTAAGGAAAATAGCAGCAAAATGGCATCAAGTGAGATGGCCACACTGTATTGGTTTACTAAGGCAAGACCTCTCTGGGGAAGGTGGTATTGAAGCTGAGATCGAAATGCAGATATGGGATGCCATGTGTACAGGACAGAGGGAAGAGAAGGCATAAGGTCCTAAACTAGGAATGAGTCTTCTGTCCTTAAGGAACAGAAAAAAGGTTTATAGTAGGGTGAGATGAGGCTAGAGAAAATAGGCGAGGCCAGATGGCAGACGGCTTTGCCAGTTGTGGTAAGGAGTTGTGATAAGGTTTTTGTTCTCAGTGCAGTGGGAAGATTTTGAGGGTTCTAAGCCATAAAAATGACATGATCTGGGTTATATTTTAATGATATTTCTCTGTGAGAAGAATGGATTATAGAGGCACAGACCAATTATTTAGATAAAATAGCCCAGGTGAGGTTAGATGTTTGTATGTTGATTTACTTTCTTATGGACTATTTCATTCCTTGTATTCATTATGAAGCAATACTCCCAGCATAAGGGAGAAGAAAATGAAAGAATAGGGACAAGGTAGTCAAGGACTGAGAGAGAGAAAAAAATTTAAGCAGACAGAGGAATGAACATAATGTTATTGGTAAAGTGATTTAGGAGGGTACATGTGACTGGAGGACAAATAAATGATGCTTGCAGCATCCTATTTTAAAGCTGAAAGAGAAACCAGTATATAAGTCATTTCTGCCATTGCCCATCCCACTCCCACTTACCCCCTTCCATAATTTCTAGTGTAGATGTACCCATTTATGTGTTCTTGTTTATGAGATCATAAAACAGAAACACATATCCTTATTCTTAGTGTAGCAATTCAGTGCCCTTTTCTCCGTTTCCTTTATATCACATAGTACAAATATTTCCTTTCTATATTAAATCTCTCATGCCTTTTTCAGGAACATAGGAAAGTTTTCTCTAGTTAGTTTGAGAAGTTGCGTTTACACATAGGTATAAAGAGGTTCTTGGCCAAAGGTCTATTCACATAAAGAGCAACAATCCCAGCACTTTTTTAGGTTGTGTTTTGCAAGACAAATTGAAGTACAGGGCTGAGAATAATTGATTAATTATTGAATAATTGATTCAGTAATTATTCACCTTCATTCTCACCATAGTATGTTCTTCTCATCTCATATCTGACTCAGATTAAGTCTTAATAAATACCAGAGATCATTTTAAGAGCTTCAGAGTTGATTTGCTAGGGAAGCCATTTTATAGTTTGTAAATTAAACTGTAAGAGAATTTTTAGGCACATGTAGGGAATAGCAAGGTCTGACTTGATAAACTGGTTTCATTAACCTCTATACTATCCTGTATAGTACAGTGAAAACTATTTTGAATGAATTAGTCAAATATTGGAATCTATTCTGAAAGCCTAGGAAGTACTTATGTGTAAAAGAAAAGAGCTGTGAAATTATAAAAAGGATCTAATCTTTTTTCTTACTATAGCAACCTAACACACTTTCCTTCTTCCTTTATGTACACATAATTAGTTTCTATAGATGAATTACATTGTTCAGATGGATGGAACAACCCGTAGCTAATCTCCGCCTGAGAAATAGCTCCCTTCAGTGATTACCTACCCAAACACAATGGGGAAAAGTCACTGTAAATAAACTCATTGTCTAATACATATCCACATATCAGGGCTGTAGTGACATCTTTAAAAGAAATGATGAAGAAAAACATTTTCTTATAGAGAGGCAGAGTAGAGATTTACCTATTATGTCACATAGGAGCT